ACCGGGTTTGCGATCAGGGCCGGTGAAGACCTGGGGAGAGAGGAGGCCGGAGCCGCTGCAGGACGCGGCCGGGACGGCGGGAGGAGGGTGTGCACTTGAGGTGTTCATAGCATGCAACAAAGAGCGCGGCCTGCGTTTAGTTCGTCCCCCTCAACTCGGCAAAGCTCGTCAAACGCGTCGCCTCTGTTCGGCGCTGGTTTTTCACCCAGCTGCAGCCCAGCCTGTCCTTCAGCCCGCTCTGGGGCAAAGAGCACCGTTCCCGTCCCAAGGGCGCAGTCACCGCCTCTGTGGTCACAGCACCGGACGCAGCCCCGGGGAGTACAGAAGCAAGGAAAACACTGGACACAGAGGGCACTGGCGGGAGGTGGACTCCGAGTGGCCTTCGGTGAGCCCCAGGTGGAGGGAGGGACTGTGAGACACCAGTGAACTGGGCCCTCGGAGCACCGGACCATGGACCGGGCCCTCGAAGACCCCTGGAGCGGCCGACCAGGGACAGAAGCCCGGAGACCACTGGACTGAACCCTTTCAACCATGAGAACCACGACTCAGTCTCTCTCTCTCTCTCTCTCTCTCTCTCTCTCTCGATGTCTTTCTCGGTTTGGGGTGTTTTGTATCAATGACGGAACCCGACCCAAATCCAGGAAGCACTACGGCTCCCTGTTCAGACGTATCTGACAGGACCCAAAGTGACCATTACCCCGGCCTCTTCCACGGCTGGACTCCTCTCCACAGTGACCAGAAGAAAAATCCTGAGCTGTGCTGTGCTCGGCAGCCCCAGGAAACTCCCTGAAGCCAAGCGCAGCCACAGCCTGGCCAAGCTCTTGAAAGACAGAGAAAGAGAGAGAAAAAAAAAATACCTGAGAGGAGCAAAGTGTTATTTTTGGCACTGACCCTTACAGATGGGCTCCCATGGTGTTTGCTGGAAACGGCACGCCGCAGGGGACGGGCCGGGAAAGCTCCATGCGGATGACACCCCGAGTCCGATCTCTGCTGAATTTTGCAGGACCCTTCTGTCACGTCTCGGGCTGCATTTCCTCCGGTGCGATGTTTCACAGAGTAATTATTCGTACACTGTGTGCTTTGGTGGGGTGTGATTTCTGTGAGGGCTCTTGTTGTGTTTGTCCTGCCCGTGAAGGGCAGGAAGGACACAGAAAGCAGGAACGAGCACTCAAGCCCCGCTCCGTACAAGACGAGTCACGTCCCCGAGACGCGCACGTCTCCGCAGAGCTAAACCCAGGCCGCAGAGCGCGAGCTGCATATCGGCTTCTCCAAAAACTCTCCAGTTTCAGAGCAGAGCGAGGATCGTTAGAGGAAACCATCGGATTCGACATTGGGAATCTTCTCCCGCATCTCCGTGGTCGAAAAGTTGGAGCAGAGTAGGCCGTGGCGGTGCACAGCTGTCAGCCCAGCCCTCGGGAGGCTGAGGCAGGAGGATCGCTGTGAGTTCGAGGTCAACCTGGGCCACATAGCGAGTCTGAAGGCACAGACTAGACTCCACAGTGAGACCCTGCCTCCAGCAAACAAACAAAAAAGGACTACCTAGAAGTCCCTAACGGGGTATAAAATCCTGTTTTATACATTTATGTACAGAGTGCGCAGCCTTGTTTTCCCTGTCATCATCGTGTGAAAAAACATGCACTTCCTGATCCCTTGTGGTGCCGGACGAATTGAGGAAAAACAGCACAGGGCCCCAGCCAGACCCTTCTCCCTACTCTGCCCCATTTTTCCGCCCGAAGGAGACGGCGCTGACTGTGGCAGTCTGGGCGCCGTGCACGAAGAAGGAGAGACACAAACACACCCTCGAGGCCAGGCCGCGCGCACGCACGTGGCTCCTGTCTTTCCTCCCAAGTCCGCGGCAAGAATTTCAAATTGAACAGGTGGACCGGGAAGAGATCTATGTATCTGACCACTCTTTTTCCCCTGACCGCTAATGCTCTTGACGGTACAGGAAAAGAAAGAAAAACAGATTAAGGTAACAAGAGCTAGGCCGGGACGTAGCTCAGTGGCGTTGCAGCGACCCGAGACGCGCAAGCATCTGAGCTCAATCCCCGCCACCAAACAAACCAACAACAACAGCGAAGTCTTGGAGACAGCCCAGGTGCCCACCAACTGGTGATTGCCTAGATGTGGGTTTTTAATTTTAATAAAATGGAGTACTACTCAGCCATAAAGAATAAGAAACCAGAGACATTTATAGCTAAGTGGATGCACACTGAGGCCGTCCGTCCTCTTCAGCGAAACAAACAGGACACGTGTGTGTAAATACCGAGTAGTTTCTCTGGTGTGAGAAACAACGCGTAAACGAGGACCGAAATGTACAGCAGAGGTTTTGAAACAGAAGAAGACGCTCACAGGAGAAGAAGTAGGGGCGGTAGGGAGGAAGGAAACGGGAAAAAGGGAAAGAAAAACGTGACGATCGAAGGAGAAAAGGGAAACAGATCCCACCAGGATGCCCCTCCGGTTTGCGGAGAGTCCCGTAGGGGGACAGCTCACGGTTGCAGCCACACGGACGCCCGTCCCGCGGCAGTGGGTCTCCACCTTGTAGGGCCTTCCCTGGAACTCACCGTTGTTGACGAGGACGTGCAGGGGGACCCTCTTTTTCTGGAAGTTCTGCACGAACTGCCGGATGGACCTCATGGAGGCCAGATCGCAGTATAAAAATTCCACTGGAAAAGGATAAAAAAGAAAAACCGGGTTACGGGCCACCCTCCCGCACGTGAAGCGGCCCGAGTCCTACCTACCCCATCAGGAAACGGCCCTGGGTTAGAAACATCGGGAGGGGACAGTGAGGCCAGGACTCTTCGGGGCGCCTCACCGGGACGCCACCTTAAAGAATGTGGGGGCGTCCCTGTGCTGGGGGCCCGGCGTGCGGCCCCGAAGTTCCCGTTCCGGAACCGTGAGCACCGAACTCACGCAGACGTCGGGTGCGTGGGGCTGGTCGGTCACAGGGCTCCGGGCGCGCTGGGTTAGCACAGCAAACGGACCAACGCAGGGTACGGGGTGTCCTTCTGGGGAAAAGGCACGATTCGTAAAGACCTGGTACTGTTCTTCTGAAGGTCACACATCTTGCAGATGAGAAAGGGTGTGTGTGTGTGTGTGTGTGTGAGTGTGTGTACATGTGTGTGGTTCTTGGGGCACAGGTTTCCGAAGGAGCGTAACGCGCCCACCAAACGTTTCAGGCCACACGATCCTGTCAGTAAGTCTCATCCGCCTTATGACATTGGTCTCTGTCCTCTGCCAGACTTGCTGCGCTGCTGATCATTACAAGGTGCAAATAATTCTGCACTCACCCGTATCGGAGAAAGAATTTTCGTGCTCCTTAGTACTGAAGGGAAACAGGCACAGACAGGTCCGTTTGACACGCGTGCCATTTTGTCCTAAAACTCAGTATTCTGGATGGCCCGTTCCCCAGTAGCCGTGATAAACCAGAAGGCTGCAATCTCTTCTTCATTTTCTAACGCCGCAGTGGAAAGCACGCACGCACGCACGCACACACACACACACACACACACAGACACTGATTATGTTTGGATATCACAAAGAGTCTCCTGGTCCCCACTGGCCAACTTTTCTATCATTGAAACAAAATAAGTGATGTCTACAAATTCTGAAAAAGCAGCGGTTTTGTGGATTAAGGTTTCAGAGGGTTCTGTCCGTGGCCGTCGCGGGCCAAAGCGGGACCGTCACGGTGCACGGAGGAGGAGAGACGCTCACATCCCGGAGGCCAGGAAACAGAGGGAGGAGGGACGAGACAGTCACAGACAAGGACAGCACCCCGTGATCCAGGCACCTTCCGAACACACAGGACTTTTGGGGGACACTGCAGTCCAGCCCCAGTACGTCCCGGTCTCTTGGCTAACTCTGCTTTTCACACTGAAGACCAAGCTTCCAAACCATGAACGCCGAGGTGACCGAGGTTACCCTCCCACATCAACATGACAGCCCTCACCGTGTTTTTCTCTGTAAAGTTACACAGTCTTGTCACGGAGGAAAATATCCGGGGCGAAAACGTGACACACAGCGGTAAAAACAGAACACACAGTGTGACAGAGGAAACACGGCGGTAAAACCAGAAGCGTAGCAGCACACAGAAAACGTATGTTTTACGCCAATGAAAATGGAGAAATGCGATTCGTAACAACGTGGAAATGGTCAAAGAGGTTTTCGGTGAAAACGTAGACAATACTGCACATCAGGTAAACAGGAGCAAACTGGACAAGGTCGAGAGCGTTTCCCTCCAGGAACCACGACGGCTCCACAGCTGAGGCTCCGCTGTGAGCTCCAGGAACAGGGTCCCTGCGGGGAGCTGTCTGCAATGTGATCAATGCAGAAATACAGAGATATGTCTAAAAATCTAAGCAGAACAAAACTGACAGCCATTTTCTGTTTGCTGAATCTAATGTGTTTTTTTTTAAGCAATGCTGGAAACTTTGGTTCTGCTTGATTTTTAAGTACGCTTTTCCAGGAATTTTTTTCTACTGTCGGCACAACAGACACAGCCCGGGCGCGGTAGAGGAGAGATCCTCACATCACGGTGGCCGGAAAGTAGAGGGACAGCCAGACCGGAGGTGGGCAGGAACAGACAAGAGTTTCCGACGTCACCACGGTGACCCCTTCCCCGGCTCACCCCCACCCCTGACGGCCCCTTCGGCTCTGACACATTCAGAGTTTGCCGTGGTCGATGTGGGCCACCTGAGTCCCCTCGAGTTCACACTCAGGATGCAGGGCCACACTTGTCACAGCACACGATGATGGCAGTGTTGGGGAAACCACACGCTTAGCTTCCAGAAACGCAATGTTATTAGATCTTTAAAGACTGGAAGGGCCAGGCAAGGTGGCACACGCCTGTGATCCCAGCCCTCAGAAGGCTGAGGCAGGAGGATCTCCGGAGCTTCAGTCCCGCCTCTGTGACACAGCGACTTGCAGGATGTTTCTCCTGTGTTTCCCAGAGGCAGAGCGGTCAGAAGCAGGGGGAAGTTTCAGCAGCACCACCCCGTGCCGAGATGGCTGCGTCGCAGGAGCCGTGTGGAGGGTTTTTTTGCTTCTCCGTCCACCGGCTCTGTCAGGAACAAGTTCCTCCATCGTTTTAGGAGCTGCACCCATAACAGGGTGGCTGGCAGGAAAGGGACGGACGACAGCGCGCAGGTGACACCCACGGGAGCGGCGTCCACAGGGCAAGCTCTGTGGGGGGAAGGGAAGGAGGGTCCAGCAGGGCTACTGTGGCCTGGACCTGCTCGGAGCGCGTTCCTCCCAGCGTGGTCCACAAGGTGGCGCCGATGAGGGCCATGCCGAGCTCCCAAAGGTCGACCAGGTGTCCACGGAACAAAACCCCAAATCCCAGGCGACAGGTGGGCAGTAGCTGAGGTTGTAGGAGACCGCTACAAACGGTTAGATGTGATTTGAACCCCACACCATTTTTTCTTTCTCTTTTTCTTTTTTTTTTTTTTCCTGCATTGCTGGACACTGACCGCCGGGTCTTTGCACAGAGCCGCACCCCCAGTCCTTTTTATTTTTCAGTTTGAGAAATGGTCTGGCTAAGTCACCCAGGCTGGGCGTGAACCTGCCGCTCTCCTGCCTCAGCCTCCTAGAGCGCTAGCCTCCTAGAGCGCTAGGGCAGATTATGGGTGCGCACCACCACGTCCGGCCCCTCCTTCCTTCCTGATGCCCACCCTGCACACTGGTTACTGAGAGCCGACCGTCAGCTCTGAATTCTGGAGCCGCCAAAAAGCCCAAACTGGTTTTCTAAAAATATTTCTAGCTTTTTCATTGACGCACAGTTGCCATCGTTTAGAGTTGAACATGGGCAGCCTCCTCCGTCTGAAGGCAGCAATCAGAACGCACAGAAGAAAGAGAAACACAGAAGAAGACCTTGCTACGTAGACCCTGAACACAGACTGTTTGAAAAGCTCATTCCGGCCGGGCGCAGTGGCCCACGTCTGTCGACCCGGCCTTTCGGGAGGCTGAGACAGGAGGGTTGTGAGTCTCACCCCAGCCTGGGCAGTTCAGAAGCTGAGGAAGGCCCTGTCTCAAATTAAAAATAAAAAGGGCCAAGGGTGTAGTTCACCGTGAAGACCCTGGGTTCCACTTCCAATACCACGCACACATACCCGGGAAGGTGAACATAGCACTGGTGGTATTATACCAAATTCTTTCAGATTTTCAAAGAACAAACGGAACGATCCGGCTAATAACGGTCCGTTCAAAACACAGAGAGGTGCGCGGTGGTTGAACTTTGTCGTTTTCTCCAGCCTGCAGTGACTGTGTACATTTTAAAAATAATTTAATACGTGAAAATAAAATTTAAATAACAAAAACGAAAGTTTGCTTTATTCTGGTACAAAGTTGTGCAAAAAACCCAAAATGATGTTAGAAGAAAACAGGGCAAAAACGAAAAACAACAACAAAAAAACCCTCTGTCGACCAAGAACATCTACGCATTCAGGCCCACGAGAAAGCGGCCAGTGATCTTTTATCAGAATAAACGAGAAGAGCGACGGTGCACCGGGAGCAAAACAACTGCAGGTCGCCCGGGCGCAGTCAGCTCGAGACGTTTTCCGCCACGAAAGGGCGGCGGGATCCGAGTAAGTTTCCTGCGTTTGGGGGACACTGCGGGTCTCGAGCGAGCACAACACTGCAGGACCCCCGGGGACCCCGAAAGAGCAGAGGGAGAGTTTGGTGCAGAGGGGGGTCTGCTGACCATGGCCCTGACGACAAACTGTCCCTGCAGCGCAGGTGGGCCCTGAGCAGGTGCCCGAGACCCGCGGGGTCCACGTCCTCTCTCTCTGCGAGTCAGGAGCCACCTGTGGGGATGGCGCGGCCAGGGGACGGCGGGCCGTGGGTGGAGGAGGGTGAGACACTGCCCGGCAGGAAGGGGCGACTCCGATGTGTATCTCTGGAGGAGACAGTGAGAGACAAACACAGAAGCCACGAGAGGAAGCCACGTGCGTGCCACAGAGAGAGACACATTCGCCCACAGGTGAGCGTCGTCCCGGCCCGTCTGTGTCTCACGACGTCCCGTCCGGCAGCGCTCGACGCCCGGGCGTGCTCCAGCGAGGCATCTGACACAGGTACAAAGGAGTTACGTGGACGGCGTACACTTCTTTTACGAAAACTTATTCGGGAAAAGACACGTTGCCAAGCACCGCGGGCAACCCAGAGGCTCAGCCCCTCCCTGTATTTCGGACCCAGCACAGCGACAGAAATAATCAACACGGGAGCGCCGTTACGGGAAGGGAAGCCCCTGCACTGGCGCCCTGCTGTCCTTCTCCCTGGCAGCTGAGACGCACACCACAGGGAAAGGTTAGTCTGTCCCAAGGGGTGTCGCTCAGCACACATCACGCTAAGCAGCGCGTTGCTGTCCACAGCCAAGGACCTAACGCTCTGGTCACCTCGTCACGTCGGGTCACGTTGGACCTGGGCTAGTTCTGTGGCACTCGCAGGGTGGCATCAGGGGGATTAGTAAAGCACACTTCCAGGTGTGTGTGGGGGGGACATGGGGATGTGACCTCGGGGACTGAACCCCTGGGACCCCTGGGGCAGCCGACCACGGACTGAGCCCCCCGAGACCCCTGGGGCAGCCGACCACGGACTGAGACCCCCGAGACCCCTGGGGCAGCCGACCACGGACTGAACCCCCCGAGACCCCTGGGGCAGC